TCAAAGATATATGTAAAGTCAACCAGCACTGTGTCAGCTTGGTTGACTATAGTCTAGTGCCCTTTAACTTGGGTAGTCTTTGAGTCTCTATGGCAACATAATATGAGCTGGCAACTCATAACTTAAATTGTTAACATTTAGACTTGCTTTGTTAAAGTTGATATTTAATACGTCCTTGCGTTTGAAAATATTGATATATTTTAACCGATCGTAAGAGAAACATTGATTGTATTTGAAAAATGTAAGGTCGTAGAATTAAATAATATGCAAGAGAAAATCTTATACGAATATAATTATTAATTCATGGTTAAAATATAAAAAAGGGTGTTGCAAAATAAGTTTAAATATGCCAACTCAACTTATTAAATAACATAAAAAATGTATAAAGGTTCAATCGTATAACGTAATGTACACCAGTACCGGCTTATCGTTGAATTTTGGAACACGCTGTATATTCCACCCACATACATACTCATTACATGTTCAATAAGTGCTAAGTACAGTCTGTGTCAATAGTTCACTTCTTTGTTTACAATTGACCTACTGTATACTAATTACTCTGTGGGCGTTGTTGCGAGAGTCAAGGGCGATCGTGTACATTCAAACAAAGAAATGATATGTAAAAACATGTGTTTTAAAAATTTCTTTTTTTCTAATGGCTTTTTATTGAAAGGTTGGCAGTAATGTCCGCGATGTTGTTCCCGGATGTTTCTTACCCTTGATTTTTTTTTGATAACGATTTTAGCCAGCGTTATTAACATAATGCTGGTCATATTTTTCGTGTCGCAAAAAATGTCCTAAATATGCAACCTTTTTTCGATGGTTCACGATTCTTTTTAACGTGCTTATTGTCTTCTATATGAACTTGTGTGGTTTTAAATTTTGTTTCAACATTGCATTACTGGTTGAACTACTGCACTAAAATTATCTCAAACCGTATCCAACTTGCTCTGCTTTTGGTCGACTGGTCGACCCCGAATGTACATAAAATGTACAATTTTCTCATGAGATTTTACAACTTGAATACTAAACATAAGTGTACGTACTTGCAATGTTAAAGCTCGATTCTAGGGTTGTCACATTGACTAAATAAAAACTGGATTTATTATCTAATATAAGAAGATTTGCATTTCTCCCTCTTGCAAAGTTTAAGTACTACGAACTAATATATTTATATTTACCTACACCAATGCTAAATAACTTTACAAAAATACTTAAACCAATGTAAAGATAAATGAGAGAATAATATCGACATTAAGCATTAGAAAAGAAGAGTATTAAGTTATAGAAATACTTTATTAAGGCGTTTATAAAGTTTGCATTCTACTTTAGAGTTTTTTGGCAGCCCTAACTCGAGCTAAACCTGTCCTATCAAGTATTTCAAGTCACCTTCACTTTTAAACGCCTTAGCTATTATCGTGGCGAGTGGTGCAACGGTTGGTCACGACTCGCCTTTGTCTGCTGGCCTCGTAAGCTCTGCTTGTTCTACTGACTATAATGCTCTGTAGCATAACGTGTCTACAATACAATTACTCTGTGGTACTGCACTGTGTGCATGTTTCTTTTTATTTATCGTTTTCATATACATTTATTTACATAATAATTACAGCTTTTCTTACAATAAAGCTTTATGTACGGAATTTGATGTAATAAGAGTTAAACTTGCATCCCACTTAGGGTTGAATGTCAAATAGCAATATTGCTATGACAAATTATCGACTAAATTGCATCAGAGTCCTCGACTGTACTTTGTATATAATACATGTATGTCGTTATGAAATCCTTTTGAATCCTATATACGCTAATGATATTACTACAAACATAATGATTCACAATTAGAGATACATTAAGCGATATTAATATTACTGCAATGTTCTCGTTGCATTAACAAATGAATTAACATCTCTCATACATGTTTCATGATTGCGTCGATGGCTCAGGGGTTGTCAAGGGGGTCACTTGACTTGCAATCTGCAGATCCTGGGTTCGAATCCCGCCATGTACCAATTTCTTTTTCGATTTCCGATTTACATTTGTACATTTATCTGATGTTCTTACGATGAAGGAAAACATCTTGATGTAACCTGTACCTATCTGAGAAATTCAAAGATATGTGTGAAATCAACCCGTAATGGGCCAGCGTGGTTGACTATTTCAGTCACCCATAACATAGGTTAGGTTCCGTGCCCCTCATTGGGGACGTATAGTGAGTTAATGATGACATGTTTCTTCGTTAGTTTACACTGCGGTAACATTGTCAAGAACTTTGAAATCTTTGTTCTCTTTGTAGAAAAGAAGTAACACGGTTCATAGTAGAAACTAAGGCTTTATAATCTGTTTACGTAACGTCTTGCACATGTATAAAACTTATGTTACATATTATAACAACTCTCTTTGTTATGTTATTCATCGTTATAAGTTACTAACTGTCGTCCGCGACTCCGTCCGCGCAGGATTAAATATAATAACTTAAAAAGTAACTCACGTGTTTGTGAAATTTAACAAGATCCGTTGAGTTGTTCCGGAGATACCTTCTAACGAAAATCCATCTAAACTTTCGCATTTATAATATTAGTAACATGATCTTTTAAAAGTGACTTTTAATAAAGCTTATGACGAAGATTCTCAAACTATTTTTTATAGACCTTTACATATTATTGTTTCTTTTTTAATCTTTGATAGCTTTGTAACAGACGAAGCAAGTCTCGACCGGCATGGTTGAAATGAATTATTTATACTGCGCCTGCGCACGGCTTTGTATGCTCGATGCGTGTTGAACCTATTGTGTGGCGCTTTCTGGGAAGTGTGTACGATATGTATTCAAATGAAACAACGTGTAGGGATGTGAAACGAATTCAGAAATGTATACGTAAATGTAGACGTTTGTCTTTAGTCTTTAAATTTTAACGAGCTTTTATAACTTGGAGTTTTACGTAATTTTAAGCGGGATTAAAATAGAAAAACAATTGTACCATATAACACAGTTTTTATATGTTTTTGTGTTTTTTTTTGTGATTATAAGAAATTAACTTTTGCATGCGACTTCATTACCGCTGTATTATCTAGTAACGAGTACAGTCTATATTACTCTATGATAATTTAGCTTTTTAATGGTTTTTTTTTTCCAAATCGGTCTAGTAATTTTTGAGTTTATTTGTTACATCATCATCATCAGCTCACTATACGTCGCCACTGAGGGACTCGGAGCCTACCCTAAGTTATGGGTGATTAGGCCATAGTCAACCACGCTGGCCAAGTACGAGTTGGTTGACTTCACACATATCTTTGAATTTCTTCTCAGATATGTGCAGGTTGCATCACGATGTTTTCCTTCACCGTAATAACGTCCGACTAATGTACATATATAAATCAGAAATCGAAAAACACATTAGTACATGGCGGGGATTCGAACCCAGGACTTGCAGATTGCAAGTCAAGTGCTTGACCACTGAGCTACCGACGCTCTATTTGTTACATACATATGTACAAATATTTCATTTTAATAATATTAGCAGTTCGTGGTCCTTTGATTGATTTCATGACGTTTAGTAGTTGTGGAGAAAATAAACAAATTCCTTACACGTAAAGCATGTGAAGAATTGTTGTTTACGTGCGTTTTCCTTTGCTCAAGAAATGTTATCTGCTTCTTGTTACAAACCATGTTGTCTGTATGAGGGTGCGGATGTTTTGAACAGCCGAACGATTGAAATGCAATTTTAACACGCTTAAAATTTGTTATTAAGTTTTTTAATGTCATTGTCATTTACAACTAGACGCCCGACGACGTCCGTGCGTAATTAAAAAAAAAACTTCATAAGTAGTCTACGTGTTCTTCTAGTGGAGTGTCGGTGGCTCAGGAGCGTCGGTGGCTCAGTGGTCAAACACTTGACTTGCAATCTGCAGGTCCTGGGTTCGAATCCCGCCATGTACCAATGTGTTTTTCGATTTCAGATTTACATATGTACATTTATCCGACGTTCTTACGGTGAAGGAAAACATCGTGATGCTGCACATATCTAAGAAATTCAGAAGATATGTGTAAAGTGAACCAACCCGCACTTGGCCAGCATGGTTGACTATGGCCTAATCACCCTTAACTTAGGGTAGGCTCTGAGCCCCTCGGTGACGTGTTCTTCCAGACTATGTTCTATATCTGTACAAAATTACGTTAAGATCTGTTGAGACGTTTTAGAAATGACTTTTAACAAACATCCATCCTAACATTCGCATTTATAATATTAAATAGGAACCCTTTAATCTGATTGATTATTTTTAATTTGAATTTAATGACACAAATAGTAATTCTTTACCCTGTCGTTTACAATATCCTGGTTGTAATAGAAAAAAAAGTTAAGTCCATATGTGTTAAACGAAATGCTAGAAGGTTAACGTCTTTAACACACGTTAAGTTTATGCGGAACTAAAAGATAATTTGTACTTAATTACACATTTACGACTAAAGGAGGATATGGAAGTAAACTAATTAATTGGTTTCTTTTAGTTCGTATACAATTATTTATCTAACAAAAAATACAATACTAGATAAAGAATTACGTGTTTGTAATTTTGGCCTTAACATTCGTATTCGACTAGCTGTCGTCCGCGGTTTTATACGCGCGGAATTATAAAACAATTAAGTAAGCAGCCTATATGTTCTTCCAGACTGTACTCTACATTAATACCAAATTTCAGCAAAATCCGTTTCATCCATCTAAACATTCGAATTTATAATATTATTAAGATTTTTTTATTAGTGGCCAGTATTATTAGTGATGCTAATTCGTATTTTAAACCTTATTATAAGGTTAATGACCTTTTAATGAATAATTAAAAAGAACAAATTCTTTGTCTGAGTATCATTAAAATGTATCGTGCAATTTAAATAATCTATACTTAATTAGTTTACATACATTAGTTAAGTATATAATTTAAGGGCTTAATTAAATCGTATAACAAATCAGTTTTATTTCTTATATAATAATATATTGTTTGTTTGTCAGGGTTGTCACCATGTTGCAGCAAATCCTGCGCGACATGTGGGTAGACCCGGAGATCCTCGCTGAACTCGACGAGACGCAGAAACAGACGCTGTTCTGCAAGATGCGTGAGGAACAGGTAACGCTATATTTTATTAACACCTTAATAACTAGTTGTCGCCCACGACTCCGTTTGAGCAGGATTAAAAAAAATGCTGAATAGATGTTTCAAGGTAACTCCAGAACAGCTCAGTTGATCTCAATTAAATTAGCCATAGACGTAGAACATATTCTGGTAGAACACAATTAAATTAAATTAAATATTTTTTTAATTCCTTGCGGACCGAATTGCGGGCGAAAGCTAGTTCGATATAAATCATTCGCTTACGTTTTCAAGAAAGTATTTTAATGAAATTCTGTCGTATCCAGTGGAAGCAGGACTTAAAGTATATAATTAATACTTTCTAGTAAGCTGACATTGATTCAAGTATTAAGTTATATCTGGATACGCTTTAAGTGCTTTCTTGATATAGAAAGCCTATAATCTAAGCTAATGATGCTAGAAATTAATATTATATTTGCCTATAGCTATAATGTTTATAATTAAATGCTAAAGTGGCAAAGTAAAGGAAAGGCTGCTACACTCAGAAACTTTTTTTTTTACTAAAAATAGTAGCAGATTTTTTTGGAAATTTACTAATATTACTTTTACCATTTCAACTAAGCTCTAGCTTGTGCTAGGATATGATTTACGATAATAGTCGAATGGCGGGATTCCAACCCCCGACCTCGTGATCGGAAATCCGTATCCTTAACCATTAGGCTACTGACGCTTTTAAACTTTAATTTAAGACTGAGGATATATTTTAGTGTAGGTTCAATGTGAGTGTTAGCAGTAGAGTAACTATAACATCCCTTAGTGTGGTACTTAATAATAATATAAGTTCTTTCGATGTAATTAAAATTAAATATTTAATATAGATCTAGTTGGACAGCACCTTTATTTTTACAATTACCACGTTCCAGGCTATTTCAAGCCATTTTCACGGCGTCAGTTTTTTTTTCTATTTGATTTCGTTTTTTTTTTATTCTAACAATAAATATTACGTGTTATTTTTAGAGACTGTATTTCAAGGACGGTTTGCGGTTTTGATAAAATAAAGTGTAGATTGATTTCTTTGTTACATTCCATTCTTAGTTTCTTGTATTCATGGTAATATAGTCAAGAAATTCGCTTCTTAGAACCGAATATTGTAGAACAAACTGCCAACAGTCGGCCTAGCACGATTATTTATGTAGCGCGTAAGGTCTGGGCGAAGTTGTGCGACCATTACAGGCGCCAGGAATACAGCGCCCGATCGCCATAGCCGACAGAGCTGCCCCATTATATCGGATGTTTGCAGGAATGTCGGAAATGTTAAAACAACCCCTTATTATTTGGGATAGCGCCTTATTATCGTCAATTATGTCAAAATTAGTATGAGATTTTTAGTTAACTTTACACTCGATATTATCACCATGACATATTTTCGATTTATTGCCTTTGTTAGTGTCAAATGATACCATAATGGCTAGTAAACTCCACGACTGTATACATTCTATCCTGTGAGTCAACTCGTATGAGTCAGGACAGGAATGCAACTGTCGTTGTGGAGTTCTTTTTAACCGATTAGACTCAATACGGTTGTGCTTATTTAAGATTCTATTTCTAACTGCGATTTTTTATCGATATGTTTTTGTTCAAGAAATAACTTTCAAGTCAAGAATAAGGTAAAGGGATATCTCATTTTAATTAATTATCAGATCGAGAATGTAAATGTTATTTATAAAGCTATTTAGGATGATTAATAAAATAAAAGTTAATGTTAGATTTTCTTCATTATGTTTTTTAAACTCTTGTTATTAAACAATTAATCCAATGAGATTTATATGTTTTATTTAGTATAACGTAGATATGAAGGACCATACAAAATATATTAACAATTGTATGTACAGTCCAACCTGGATGAGTTCGAGTCCGACGGACCGTAATATTGTTCTCGCTTATAGAGGTTTCTCTCTAACCCGAGAACAATGATTCTCGCGTATACAAGATATCGCTTATCAAGTTCTCGATAATTCAGGCCTGACTATATTTGTATTGTAAAGTTAAGACTATACAGTATATACAGTTTAAGTATAACCGGAACAAATGCTAAGTAGAGTCAGCTCTACTTATTATTGTAGACTAGCTGTCGACCGTGACTCCGTCCGCGGAGTATAATTAAAATAGTGGCATAATACTGTGCTAAATTTCATCCAGATCCGTTCAGCCGTTCTGGTGATATCTTCTAACAAACAAACATCTAAACATTCGTATTAAAGTAAAATTTTTGTGTTCTTGTTTGTCAAAAGGTCAGCACAGTAATTTTTTATTTATAGATATTAGTCTTACTTCTTAGTATTATAATATTATAAATGCGAGAGTTTAGATGGATGTATGGATCGTGCTGAAATTTGGCATAGATGTAGAATAGTCTAGAAGAAACATACTTATTAAGTTATTTTATATTCCGCGCTGACGGAGTCGCGGGCGACAGTTAGTATATTATAATTCTGAAATGTCTATTTATCAATGTCCTAATTTATTAATGTTTCCGTCCGGCGCCATTTGCTATCGTCAGTATTAAGACCGACTTCGACCGCAGCATCCTCTGATAACAAGCATTGACGTCCGCCTACTGAGCTCCTGATTGTCTTTATCTCTAACGTCGTTATAAACATTACGTCTCTGTTATCTGCAGAGAAAATATTGTATAATCTTTGTTGTGTTACAGATTTATACTTAAGTAACTGTCGCCCGCGACTTCGTCCATGTAGAGTTACGTTTCTAAATATAAATATTTACCGTGGGTTTTTGAGAGCAAAATCCACGATTGAAACATTCTTTTTTTGTTATCTCTATTTTATCATAGAGACAGGCGTAAATGTCTCAGAAACTCACGGTTAATGACTTATTATTATTAGGTTTTAAACGTTCACGTTGTGCGTTTGTTTTCAGGTGCGTCGCTGGCGTGTGTGGGACGACAAAGTGAGCAAAGAAGACACGGATAAGCCAAAGTATGAAGCTAACGGGAAAAAGCACGTGCAGTTCCTTAAGGGGGAGGATGGTGAACCCTGGGTAAGTGTATTACTATATACTATGCGATAAGATATCAGTGGTAGAGTCTGCAGCAGCATGAATCGCCAGCTGGACCGATGGAATACCACGACCACACAAAAAGGCGCGAAATGGAAGTACCTAATTCCTCATTTGACTGATGATTATGTGTTTTTTTATATCAAAAGCTGGCAATCGAGCGGGCGGCCACCTAAAATGGCTGAAATAGCGAAGTGACCGTTGCCCATAGACATACACAATTGCATATGCGTTGCCTACCTTTAATCGACGGCGGAGAAGATGCACAGAAAGAAAACATTTCTATGCATCCTCTCATCCAGAAAGTCTACTTCCACTTCCTTTCCTTATTAGAAAAAGGTGGGAAGGGAAAGAGGGCTAAAATAAGGCCTACAGGACAAATTGTAGGTAAAGGCTAAATGTGGTCTATTATGTTACATATTAATATCATATCATAGATTATAAAATTACTATAAAATAAATAACTATAAAATTATGCAAACAAATATATAAAATACACTAAATCTTAACTAATATTAAATAAATAAATAATAATAAGAGGAAGTTGGTTTGTAAATGACATGCAATAATACACCTTATCCCGTCTCTTTTAAGTTGTATTTTGGACCTCACTGACGTCAGTTATAAAAAACTACATTCGTAATAAAGACGGATACATTCAACTGAAACATAAATAAGAAACAAGTTTTTTTTAACGGCTTAGTCTTACACAAGTAGACATATCTAGACTTAGAACACGTTTGTAAATTAGCAATTCATACGCGTAAATTGGCGCGAAACCTCGCAGCGATATCTGACCATAAACAATGATATAACATATGCGCGGGAAATTAGGCTAATGTCGGCGAAAGACGTTACTTGCATATGTAACGGTCAAGAAGTCGTTCTAGAACAATACGAATTTTCTGTTTACATTAATATAATTACGTAGCACGGTTCTCATGAACTTCGCAAGTAAGTAACCTGCTTTTTATACGCGTTATTTTAATATTTTTCACCAACATTTACTGTTACTTTTTATTGTTGTAGTTTTATTTTGTTACCGTAACGAAATTGTTAACCTAAAGTCTAAATAAAGTAAACTTATATAAAAACGGCTTAATACTAACTTATATTCGTCCGGTGGCGGCACCGACTAGTTTCGAGCCCATCAGGGGCCCTTAATCAGGGTGATTGGGACTGGTACTATTTCGCGGATGCGGTCCGTCGCCCACCTAGTCAGTGCCGCCTTCGGACGAATATACGTGAGTGTTTAGCCGTTTTTATATAAGTTTATTCTAATGTCTCACGAAAGTTTGAATAATTTAATGCTTTTAAGTATGTAGGTACTATAGTTTTGATATAGGCTCGTATAATTATAGATGCATGATGATGACGTAAAACTGACGCAAATAGGCTAATTCGTGTCATTATTTAAACTTTATCCTTCCCTTTAAAATTATATGCTCCATAACCTGTCGCCCGCGACTCAGTCCGTGCTGAATTACAAAACTTTAATTAGTACCCTATATGTTCTTCCAGGCTATGTTCTACATCTATGCCAAATTTCAGCGAGATTCGTTGAGCCGTACTGGAGATACCTTCAAAAAAACATCCGTCTATCTAAACGAAGATAAGATAACCAATTTGCGTGTAGTAAGCACAATTTTCAGATATTCTAAATTTAAAAATTTATGACAATTATTTGTAGACGACACTAGGAATATTCTTAAAAATTCCATTATTCAGGACAATATCTATAGTTACGTTTAAACTATGTTGACAATTTAATTGTTATAACATTACATAGCCTTGGTCTATTTTAACCGCGCCCCTCTATTATCTACCTACAACGTTATTGTCCTATATTTAACGTAATTGGTATAAAACACCAAGCCCAAGTGAGACAAGGTCATCTAATTCTAAACTGACGCAAATTATAAATATGTTAGGAATAAAATCCGACACTGTGCTGTATCGGCGCAACAGTAGCTTTATTAAAATGTCGACGCTTGTGTCACTAATCAATCTGACACTTGACTTGTAACGAAAGCCAAAGGATTCTAATAACGTTTAAAAATTACTATATTTTTTTAAAAGGTAACAAGCATATAAACAACTTGAAAAAAAAATACCCATAATTCTCTACATCTTTTCCCAGGTATGGGTTATGGGAGAGCATCCTAACGACCGTAGCATCGAGGATATCCTGGCAGAAGAAGCCCGTCAGCGCGCGTTGTCGCAAGCCTGCCAGGAGGCGCACCAGCTCAGGAAGTCTGTCGAGAAGGAGCTTACGCATCTCATTGAATTCCAGCCACTGGATGCCTTGGAACAGGTAATGTGTTACAGTGTTAAAATGTTTTTACAGTCAGATCATAGATGGCGCTGTACAATAACGCAATATACATAGATCGCGATTTTGAGATTCTGTGTCTATAGTGTTTTGAGGAACGTGATTTTATTTTACCCATGCAGTTAGATGTATTAATAGCAATCAGATAATAGCAACCGATCAAGCCGAGGTTCGGCCCTCTCGGGCACCCTTGAATCGGAATGCTAAACGCGTAATGAGTGACAGCCCAAGCCGAGATCCCCTCTCGGGGGCCCTTGAGACCAGTCACTCCATGGAGCGTCCACCTAAGCGATCTAAGAGCTCGGTGACCTCCCAATCCGGTAACTATAATGAAGTAACAGCCCGAGCCGAGGCTCCTGAGGGAGCCCTCGAGTTTTGTTACTCTTAAACGAGGTTCAGGCTATATTTTTTTAAGCAGATGAAAAGAATTGAGATGATTGATGTATTGTTACAGAAGTTCGATTTATCCCCAAAAAATGTTGACTCTCTAGAAGATACGCTAGATTTGTACTGCTCAGTGGACGAGCTGCGCGCGCGCATGGAAGAGTTGGGGCCTATGCCTTCGCCCAAGGATATAGACAAGGCTGAATACGACGCCATCAAACTTGATCTCAACAAGAACACAATGCATTTCAACTTCATTGAAGGCAAGCGGGACGTCAGAGATGTAATACAGGTTAGTTTTATGTTAGACAAGAAATTTATCACGTGTTGTATAGCTAACAATAAACGTCGACATGAAGAGATATTATCTTTAGCCTTATTAAGAGTGACAGAGAAAGAGGAATACTTTTATCTAACGAAACTTAAAGCACTTTTAAGACATTTATTCTAAGGTCTACATTCATTCTCGGTCTGTAGACTTTGGGGGTTATATAAAGTGCATTCGCTTCGCAGCGATTCCATAATGAACTTCAAAAATGTATGAAACTTACTGACTGAACTGAAGGAATTTCGTTGGTAAAGAGTGTAAAATATAATCCTTTTGCTGCTAAGCTGATAATCCTGGGGCGTGGTTTAGGAGTCAGGTCAGGTGGCAGACGGTGTGAGCCTGCGCGTGGCTGCGTGGGAGCGGCGCGTGGCAGCGGCACGTGCAGGTGACATCCTGCGCGGTCTGCGCGCGCGCCGGGCACGCACACTGCGCGACGCTCAACGCACCACGCACCACATGGACGCTGTCTGGAGAGAACAAGGTAACTAGACGAGACCAGGAGACTAGTAGCTCTTGTTCAGTTTCGTATACATCATCAATGGATGAGGCAAAAGACCTATTTAAAATAGAAGACGTTACCATCTTCTAGAAATGGAAAGACCAGGGCAGGTTTACAAAAGTGGTGTAAAACTTGTTTCTTCTTCCTTATAGGCAAGTTCTTTTTTCAGTGGTCTTCTGCCAGCTTGGTTCTTTCTGAAGTATTGATTTGATTTATTGTATTTCCAGAGCGTAAGGCTAAGGAAGCCGAGGCAGCTATGCGTGAGATAGCTCGTGCGGCCAGAGAGGCACACCGCCTCAGCGCAGAGATAGAGCCCCCGCCCTGCCCCTCGCAAGGTTAGTTAATTTCTTTATTGATCTTCCGGGTATACTGGATAGAGGTGTTGATATACTGGTTCTCGTAGTAGTACTTACCTACTCTGTGGTCAATCAAGATGGATGGAAGGGTACATCTGATGACTTTCAGATCAAGTTTTTCGTCGAGTACGAAAGGTCATTCGAAACTGTCTAAAACATTTTTGACTTTGTAAATTATAGCCGGCAGACCGCCAAACCGCGAAGCGGTGCTGGAGTGGTTCAAGACACACGAGCTGAAGAAGGGAGTCGGTCTCGACGAGAACAACAAACCCGTCGATTGGTTCCATGGTAATTATTTTAACAGAAACCTCTAATCTTCTCTCGCTCTGAGACCCTGGTACTTCCCCAGACAAAACCAAGAATTACAATCAAAGCTCTTTTTTCGTGAATTATAAGGTGGCAAACGATCGATTGGTGATTTAAATTCGCCAAGATAGCGAAGGGATATGCTCGTAGACATTTTGCAGATGTGTTGCCTGCCTTTATTCGATCAAAGAGCAGCAACAAGAGGATATCTCCCCCTCCTATGAGTATCTTACTCCATCTACTGTTTCAAGGAAAGACGGAACTAAAATTAGGTTTCCAGAACATACCCGCACATTCATCAGACGAATAACGGAATGACTTCATGTCTTTCTTTATTCTGGTTTATTATGACAATTTATTACTCATTTTTTTTATTTCGTCATCCCTAACTTACGTTAGAGCGTCTGTGGCTCAGTGGTCAAGCACTTGAGTTGCAATCTGCAGGTCCTGGGTTCGAATCCCGCCATGTACCAATGTGTTTTTAGATTTCCGATTTACTTTTTATGTATATTTATCCGACGTTTTTATGATGAAGGAAAACATCGTGATGCTGCACATATCTGAGAAGACAGTCACCCGTGACTTAGGGTAGAGGCCGAGCCTTCTTGAGCTGATGATTAACATACGAGGGTGTCGTGTTTGTGTCAGGCGTGATGTCGCGCGTGGAGGCGGAGCGCGCGCTGTCGGGGCGCGGCGCGGGCAGCTTCCTGGTGCGCGTGTCGGAGCGCGTGTGGGGGTACGCGCTCTCTTACCGCGCACAGGACCGCTGCAAGCACTACCTGGTGGAGGCGGAGCGCGGCTACCGGCTGCTCGGCGCCGCCACCACCACCCACACCTCGCTCGGTACTCTCCCTCACCCTACCTCACATACACTCAAATATCTCCATCTCCCTCTCACACATGCCATATTACATACTATCTGTCGCCCGCGACTTCATCCGCGCGGAAATAAAAAAAAACTACTGGTCGCAGCGTAGTTACATAGCCTAAAGTCTTCCTCTATAAATGGACTATCCAACAAAAAGATGAATTCATCAAATCGGGCCAGTAGTTCATGAGATTAGCGCGCTTAAACAAACTTTTTCGCTTTATAATATTAGTATAGATTAGCAAAAAACATTACTTAGTTTGCTGCTATTGGCAGTATTGTAGTTTTTGTCTCTTTCTCCCAGAACTATTTTTTCTAATTTATTCACCACCTAAGTTGAATATCGTGAAAATATATAGCACAGTATAAGTCAAAAGCTTCTTATTAAAAAAAAGTAAATATTTTATGTCAATGCTGACATCCTAAATAACAGAAAAGCGTGTGTTTACCCTTTATTATATTGGAATGTATTGTATTACATACATAATGCACACAATCATGTCTAAATCTGGTCATAGAAATTCTTCTGAAACAAAAATGTCATTATCGACTTATAATATTTTAAGAACGCCACCTATTGACGTAAAATTGCATTCAATACTCAACAGATGACGTCACAATATCATAGATGCTAAAACAACGAACCAAATATAGCACATATTCATTTTATAAATTAAAATATGTTTTCTATGATAATTTAACTTTTTTTTTAATGATTAAAAAATATTTTATCTGTGTATTTCAGCCGATCTCATAAAGTACCACAAGACGGTGGCAATCACAGAGAGCGGAGGTGAGGTGCTCACCACTCCCTGCCCCCCGCAACACCCGCCCACCTTCTGAACCACGTCACACTGATGACGTCACTGATGACGTCACAACGATGCTGCATACAATGGGAACGCGCGCTGCACTTTTATACAACGATACGTATTACTCTAAACAATAGGACATACAGAATGTCCCGGAAAGAATGAAGTACCACAGATTATTTGGTTGCAAAACATGATTATTTCGATATTCGTGTTTTTGAACCCCCTGTAGGTTTATAACAAAGGTGTTTATGAAAAACAATGTTTTCAATATTAATAAAATCTATGTATTACTTTTTGAGATATTTGAATTAATATAAAATTAATTTGGAAATTTGAAAGCCATCTAGCGGCTAAAAGAAGCAACTTTACATAGAGGTAAGTTAAATCGGCGTATTTTCGTGAAAAAAATCTATGGTAAAATCATTTTACACATTTTTCTCGGACATCCTATATAATTATACATTAGATTGAATTTAAAATAAAAAATTGCATTATTCGATGAAAAGAGTTACATCTCTTATAACTGGAGATATAACTTTATTACATTGGGTCTAAGTGAATAAAGTCACATGTCTCGTAGCGCGTTTTATTTAGTTGTTAATTTTATACTCCAGTCAATATATCGTAGTTGTTTGATTATGACTCTTATTTAATAGTTCTTTAGGTCTCAATTAGGATAACTAATACGTGAATTTACTTTCTGATTTTCCTTTCTAGTGATTTTTAAGTAAATTAGAATAATTCTGCTTTTATCTTATATATTACATTAATTTGACATATTAACTGTATTTTACATTATTCCTTTTTGAAAAAAAAATGTCACTGTCTACCCCTAATTTATTCAAAAGCTTTATAGATGTGACAACAATTTAATATATCTTTTTAAATTATTCAAATGAACAAGATTTCGATACAAAAAAATATCTGCATTTTTCAACAAAAAAAATTGCATTCTGATTTTTTTGTAGATTTGCTTGAAATTCGCTTTTATTTTTAAATAATACTATGTATTATACTATTAGATACATAAGAGATAGGCTTTTTAAAATATAAAAATTCAATAGTCTAAACGTGATTTCGACCAATAATAAAAATAAATGTCAATGTTTCTGTAAAGATATCGTCAGTGGAAACACTTTTAGAAACTCAACTGTGTAAAATTTAAAATCCAAAGTAATTAGTTATGTATATTATTGAGGTCAATGTTTTTTTTTCATTTATAATAAAAATATTTACCCTATGTATACAATATTTTAAAATGTATTAGTCATAAACTGCCAGTTAGAAATAAATAAATCATATATAATTGTTTTTTATTACTAGCGGTTGAACCATTCGTGAAAATTCAACCATATTTTTTTTTTATTTTTGATGAAAATATCATACACTTCTTTTCCATATTAATATAAATTTAATTTATCCTTAACCAAAGTTTAATTATGAATGTTTGGATGGATGGATATTTCTTACAAGTTTTTTTTTAATTTTTGTGACAATGAAATTTGTCATAAATATAGAAAATACTCCGGAAGAACACATAAGCTACTTACTAAGTTTAAATTTCTAGCGGACAGAGCCGCTGGCTTTTTTTATACCATAAGGTGGCAAACAAGCGAGCGGCCACCTGAAATCGCTGAAATAGCGAAGCGACCGTTGCCCATTCTTCTTCTTCTTTGTCGTTGCAGTCTTGTCAGACTGGTCGTGGTGCCCATAGACATACGCAATTGCATATGCGTTGCCTACCTTTAATCCACGGAGGGGAGGATGCACAAAGAAAACATTTCCATGCATACAGCTAAAGCTAATAAGACAATAAAATTATGTACTATACAGCATTTATTGGAATAAATATTAATTTAAAAATTAATATTAACGAGTACCAAAATCTATTTAAGTTAAATATTATTGTTAAAATATTTAAAATCAAAATACAATTCAAATTTTATACAAAAACTCCAATATTTTTAAATATACGACGCTTTAGTATTTTACGTTAAACAATATAAAAAAGTATATAAGTTGTCTCTTTATATATTAATTTTGATATTTACAATGCACACAAATATAACAATATTTCCATTTTTCTATATTTACAGATATTTTTAAAAATATAAACCAAAGCAAGCGTAATAAAAAGATATTTGATTGTTTCAAATAAACTCTAATACATAATTATTTAGTATTCAAGAAATAATAAAATGAAGGATAAAATATTTATTTACATTTAATTATTTTTATGCAATCACAAACATTTCATGATTATATATCGATATATCTTGAACGATATATTGTTAAGAACAAAATACGAAAATATGACAGTGTATTGACTCAACACTAGCCTTACTAAAATGTCGACGGTCATGTCCCCCCATTATTCATTCTGACACTGGACTTTGTAACGAAAGCACGTCATTGGAGTCAAATGATTCTAACTAATAATGTCCTAAAATATTGAAAACAATTTAATCACTTTTTAATGAATTAGTTAAGAAATTATTTTTGTCAAATAAGATAAAAAGACTATAGATAAAAATCTATCGAAATGTCTATGAAAATAACAATAATTTTTAAAATACTTGATTTCCCATCATATAATTATAATATTCAAACTAATTATTTAAAGAAAATAAAAACAGCAAAAATCTAAGGATTATATTAGTAACTACAGAGTTTTAACTTCTAAATATATTAAAAAGTATATAATAAAATACATGATGATGTTTAATACAATTTATAACCAAACTTGACTAGACAAAGTAAAAAAATCACTCCTGTATCTAAATTATTCATAGTTTATATAATTTTCATAATTGTCACTCAATATTACAGTTTACTAACACTGCACAAGTCTGAACACTGAACATATACAAAGTGTACACAAGTCTATTGACTGAACATATACAAAGTGTACAATGGCAGTGCGGCGGTACATGTACACAGTGTACAAGTCAGTGATGGCACAGCTTGTACAAGCCGTGCTTGTAGAGTCACATGTACGGCAAGTTGGTCGGCGTGCGAGCCTCGAACGTCGACTCTGTTCCACCGCGCTAAAGGTAGGACAAAAATAAATTTATAACAAACCCATCTTTTGAATCTACAATATCGTACTTATATTATAAATCATCATCAGCTCAGTATACGTCCCCACCGAGGGTCTCGGAGCCTACCCTAAGTTAAGGGTGATTAGGCCATAGTCAACCACGCTGGCCAAGTGCGGGTTGGTTGACTTCACACATATATTCTGAATTACTTCTCAGATATGTGCAGGTTGCATGACGATGTTTTCCTTCACCGTAAGAATGTCGGATAAATGTACATATGTAAATCGGAAACCGAAAAACACATTGGTACATGGCGGGATTCGAACCCAGGACCTGCAGATTGCAAGTCAAGTACTTGACCACTGAGCCACCGACGCTCATATTATAAATGCGACTGTTTATTACAGACTATGGATGGATGTTTGTTATAGATTATCTCCAGAACAGCTGCATGGATCTCGCTGAAATTTGGCATAGATGTAGAACATAGTCTGAAAGAACACGTAGGCTATTAAGGTTTTTTTTTAATTCAGCGCAGACGGAGTTGCGGTCGACAGCTAATTGATAAAATTTTGTACAAATTAAGAATCACTCACCATTGTGTCCCAGGTGTCGTAGGATCTGACAGAATGCATCAGAGGCTTCTTTACCTTCTTCATGGGGCTGTTGCTGGCTGACAAAAAAAAACTAACGTAATATTAACCTAATCCCAAATGATTTCATTTACAAGATGCATAAAAAAGACAATTTTTTATGCAAAAATGTCGTTTTAATTAGAGTCTTACCTCCAGGCACGTATGGCAGAGAAAAGTTGGGCGGATGAGATTTAGTTGACTTCTTGAGACATTCCCCCAGCATGTCCTTGTCCATCACCAGCTTGCTGTTCACCCTATTTCAGGAGTTTGATTTAATATTATAAAATAATAATGGAATGGATGAAGAAAAAAAATAATTGATGAGTATAAGAAAAATATTAGGCTTAAAATATATTGCGTATTCTAGATTTATAATACTTTAAGATATTTTTGTAAATACTTACTTCTTTATATAGGGTGTTCTTGGATAAGTACTGACGGGTACAGGAAATGTCTGAGAAGTAGAAATAAGAATTAAAAAAAACCTATAATAATATTAACATTAGTTTGCATTACAATCCACTCTTTGTTAGACATAGAAAAGGCTTTAAAATGGATTACAATTTTGATATAAAAGCGTAGTAATATACAAGACTAACTCTAATTCTGTTAAATTGCCTAATAATTTAACAGAAAAACTATGGTTGTATTAACCTGGAAGGTTTCGTTGACGAGTCGGGCGAGGGAGCGTGTGACGGGGGGACGCGGCGCCGGCAGGGACGCACTCGCCTGACAATATAACAATTTTTTATCATAAACTTCTTCTTCAGTCCTTGATCTTGTCCCATTTACTTGGTATCGGCCTTTTTGTTATATTTTTAACAAACTGAATCCTATAAAAAAGCTGGCCATCTTGCGGAAAAATGTTAAACTAACACGTACTTTTGATATAATAAAGGCGATTGTGGCGCCCCTTAAACGAAGTTTTTAACATTTCTTATAGCACTATGTCTGTACTAATAAAAAGGAAAGATTTGATTGTTTGAATATGCTTTGAAACTACTCAAGCGATTTTAAAAACTCTTTCACTATAGTGAAGCTCTACTATTCCTGGGTGACATAAATTCCTCGCCTTCGATGTCGCGGGCAATGGCTATTAAAAATATTATTATAAAGGCTATCTTATGTATGTATACCTCATCAGTTTCATTCAATTGAGATGACAATGTGGTTGATAAGACGCTGGATGATTTCTTTGCAGCCGGCGCGCCCTCTGTCGGCGCCTCCGAACCTACTGACACAAAATACACGAATGACTCAACCAAGTAGCAAAGGCAGATGATATCCTGGTAAATAAACATATAAAGTAAAATAAAAGTTTAATAAAAATAAAGGACAACGTTCCTAGATTTTATAAGAGAATGGAATTTTCTCTTACGATTAGAGAAGTCGCAATTATTGGTTTCTGAGACCAAAAACTTTGCATAAAACGTAATCATTCCTGTCATTATCTTTAAAAAAACAGAGATGATATATTTAAACCAGGAATTTCTGTCTCTGAAACCGATTATTAAGATAGTGTATCTGTTGCTTCAATAGATGGCGTTATGAGTAGTTATTACGAAACAAAATTCGACAATATCTATCATTAGTAAAATCTGTACTAGCATTATATTATCAGTGCTATTAAGAAATGTACTCACTCGGGTTATAGTTATAATCTATGAGGGATTCCCCGTGTGTACTGTTTGTTCTCGAACTGTTGTTTTCAGGCTGAAAATACAAGAGAACATAACTAATTATAGAATTTTAAGGTTACGAAAAAGTAACCTTAGTGTCAATTTAGTTAACTTTTTATAAATAAGTCTAAGTTCAAAAGTAATTTGTATAAAGTCACTTGGTCAGTCAGTCAATAAAATGTACTTAATTAAGTGTACTTAGTACATACTAACTAGCATAATGCTTAGTGTCCACTGTTGACGCGGCTTGCCACTGCGAGCCGTGCTCTGCTGCGCCGGTGGGGACTGCACCAAAATTATAACACTTTTACAAATATAAATAAACAAGAAACCTCTGATTGTCATACGTAAACGTGTGTGTTTAAACATTTGGTCATAGATTTATAACTTACTCGTATCTCTTTGCCTAACATCGCTCTCAGCTCAGCGTTGAAGCTCTCTGAGAAACCGTCCGCGGTGAAATATCTGAAATTTATTATTCCATTGCTAAATTACCGTAACTTTAACTTAATTTTTTGTGATATTTTATACTTAGTTAATTAACCAACACTTTAATAAATTAGATTATTGAAAATCTAAAAAAATAATAGTAAATCAGCCTTAAATACGCTTTAATCAGAATCTATTTCCGTAACTTGTGCTGTATGTGTGTTGACTAACTTATGCCTAAGCAATGCTGTTGCTGTGGGCCGCGCTCGAGGTTCTGTGCGGAGACAGGCAGCGAGCAGGTCCCGCGCTGCGCCAGCACCGGGCAGCGAGCCACGTGCTTCGCCAGCGACGCATGTCCCACTCTGCCCACCCAGCGCAGCACCGCCTGACAGACGGGATACTACCTGTTGGTGTCTTGGCGCTAGCTTACCTGTTAATATCACAAGCAGACCGTTACCGAAGTTAAAAGACCATGTAGAGATGCTATGCCGCATATAAAAGTATTCCAATTGAAGTATTACAATCTCACCAACAGTTCTGATGATGAGTGCCAGCTGGTCGATGTCTGAGTCTCCCGGGAACAACGGATCGCCCGATAGCATCTCCGCGAACAGACAACCGATCGCCCAGATGTCCACCTCCGGACCATACCTACAGTTTGATCAAAATGACAATTTCCCTGCTTCCAGATTCATAACCATCAATATCTTGGCCCTTTCCCAGCAGAGAGTCTGGACTACTCTTCCATTTGTGGCTGTTATATTGTTGGTAACCGAATATGTTGGAAGCGTAAGTTATGAAAGGAGGTTTGCCTGTATGTATGTACCTGTGCTCAGCGACAAGCAGCTCCGGAGCACGGTACCAGCGTGTGGCCACGTACTCAGTGTATGGCTCGCCGGGAGCTGCAAGCGCGCGAGCAAACCCTAGGTCGCACAGTTTCACTACGCCTGTTTGCGACACCAGCACGTTCTCCGGCTTCACGTCGCGGTGGATTATCTGCTCGTAATATAACAAACAATCAATATGAACTCACCCTTTTAGTTATGTTTGAAATTAGAACATTCCATTGTACACTACATCTTTGTCTTCATATACGTTTTCATCTTCCCGTCTACTAACATACTTGATCTTTGTAGCAATAGAGAAAAAGGAGACCACGAGCTCTGTACTAGAATTTTGTCAAAAATAAATCCTTAATCGTAATCAAATTAAATTCAAAGAGGTGAAGCAACTTGGCGTATCACAGAAGAATTGTCAGAAGCCGTTTACTACACAATTAAGTTATAGATACCGAGTTTTGATGACAGTAGTCGATGCCTTTGAGAAGTTGGTACAGATGCCGTCGCGTGGTATGATCGCCTAGACCGCCGCGCGCCGCCTCCAACTCGTCCAGCAGCGTGTGGTCCAGGTACTCGAAGACGAGGTAGAAGCGCCGCTTGCGACGGAACACCTCGATCATGTTCACTAGGTGGTCGTGACGCAATTTCTGGATAGAGAAGACCAATGAGGAAATTTATATTTTAAAATACAAAGTAATCTTTAGTAACAGATGGACAATATATCGACCAAGGATCGCCTAAAATAGCCCTACCGGCTCCATCAAATAACCACTAACCTTTCTAAGATAATTGAAAGAAAATAAATAATAACTTTAAAAGCACAATGACCTGACTGATAACTTCATTCCTTTTCACATACGTTGCTAATAAAGAAGTATATATTTAGTCTCCTTACATTTGAACATTTTATTACAATTTAATGCAAACGTGATCAAATAAAATAGAGTAAATAAATGTTATTTGATGCTAACCTTAAGCATGCGTATCTCTCTGAGAGCCATCTTGCGGACGGCTGCGTCGTCCTCCGTCTCCAGGAATTTCTTAATGGCAACCAGCTGGCCGTTGTCGCGCCGTCGGCACTTCAGCACAACGCCATACGATCCTTCACCTACCTGGGTACATTTCATAATGACTTCAAAACTTCCCAAGGAGATATCTAACGCAATAAACTAACGAAGTACCAATCTACAACCAAGAAAAGAGCGAAATTTTCTTTAAATGTTTTCAATGCTGCTGTTTGTTCTGTTCAATAGATTCGATTACCTTCTGAACTTACGAAACTAGTACAAAAACATCGCCGGTACTCTTATTATGCTAGGAGAAACTGAGATAATTATACAGGCAGAGGAAATCACGCCTATACTCCTTTTGTGTGGTCTTTTGCCACTTACTTAGTCTCGAAACTTAGACAACGTCCCTCCGGCTCGTGTCGTAATATTTATCGATGCTGCGTCGATCTGAACGTCACCTGTCTTCCTATACCAATAAGTCCCTAGTCCCTATAACTCTTTGTGGACCTTAACTTGGTCTACCAGTTTCTTGCCTTTCAGTCTTTTTGGTGGCTGTTGTATTAAATACATATTAAATCTAATATATTGTAGATTACTTACAACAGATAGTTGCTCGTACTTGTCCATGCCGCGTGCGTTAGGCGAGGGGGGTAGCGGTAGCGTGGGGGGACGCATCACAGCCGGACCGCATCGCACACATCTTCATATCTTCACGTGTCAACTGAAAGAGAAGACACAGATACGTAGAAACTAGACTTCATTGGGTTCAAAACACAAGAAATCTCGTAATCATTTTGACGATGAAGATACGATGGTCCATATTGCATATTCGTGGTTGACCCACAGATTCCAAGAGCATAAAATTTAAAGTAACTCGGTCAGGTATTTGAGACTAAATTCATTTTACTTTGAAGAAGGCGAGGGATTAGATGGATGGATAAAGGCCAGATTAAGATGTGACGTACAGGAAACTCCATGCAAATATTATAACTTGTAAATATAAGTAGTTATAAGTGCATTATCAAAGTAAATACTTAAATAAGCAGGTGACATTCTTGGCGCCATATTTCCGCAATAAAACAAAGTAGCAGACGTGACAATTACAGGATAATTATCAAGATATATGTCGCAGGTGACCAAGTACAGACTTCATAAGATATTCATATTGTCTTGATGTCCAATTGAACAACTTCTATTATAAAGAAGACTACTGCAAAATCCGTTTCCTCTTTCCATCCTTTTCTAATTCGAAAAGGGTAGAAAAGAAAATAGGATTAGATTTGGCCTCTACTATACAATCATCAGACGAAACGCGGAATTACGTCCACTTTACGCCTTCTGTGTAATTGTGGTCGACTGGACCATTCTTACGAATACTCTACCAATGACGAATAGCATAAAATTCTATTTTAGAATAAAACCGTGGATAATTCAGCCCCAAAATAATCTCTGTCTTTTCAAAGATGAAAGACGAGGACGACGATATATTTTATACAGAGATTTAGGTGTTAAAGTCGTCTTTTACATTTGACGCTAAACGCATATAACTTGTGCCACTTCCAGCACCGCGTGTGCTCTCCCACGCCACCAGACTACTAATAATATAGTAATGGTAGAATTTATTTTCCTTGTTACTTTCTAATAAAACCTTACCTCTATTAAATAATTATTTATTTAAATTCTTTACAACAAGATAATATTAACTACCAAATCATTTTTCATATTATTGAAGTTTTTAAATATATTTTATTGAGCAAACTAGCGGTCACCCGCAACTCCGTCCGCGCGGTATTATAAAAAATCTTAATTAGTAGCCTACGTGTTCTTCCAGACTATGTTCTACGTCTATACCAAATTTCGTTCCGGATATACCTTCAAACAAACATCCATTCATCCAACTAAACATTCGCATTATCATATTACTAATAATATTAATGAATGGTCTGATAGCGAAGAGCTTCGACCAACATCTCAAAAAGCTTTCGCTAAACAGTTGGATTAAGGGCCCAATACAAAAGACAGTTATTCTAGAAACCGCACGCATCGTGAAAAGGTTCCTGTCTCTGCAGCCCTGATCGCTGTTTGTTTGAGTCATGGGGATTCCGCAGCCGGTGTTGCTCTATTTTTAATATAATATATTTTGTATAATTTTGTTATTTTATATATGAAATGTACTATATTAAGAATATAATAAATAAATACATATATATTATTAATATTGTTACATTTGGATAAATATAACTATAATCACTTAAAAGGGCATTTAACAGACGATTCAAAGATTAAACAGTTATATTTTACTGTAGTCAATAATACGAGTATAATCGATTTACAAATACAATATCAAACAACATATCTTTTCATCAAAGTAATTTCTTGATAACATAGTTTCATAACCATTATAAACGATAGCTTTATTTCATGACAATGAAATTATACAGCAAAAGCTATTTTATATTAGGCTAGTTTCACACTAGAACGGAACAGTAACACTGATCAGTAGAACAGCACAGTACTACAATTGTGTACGTATAAACTTCTGGCATATATTGTCATCCTTTTTTCTTTCTTTGTGAAAACAGAGACAACAATAGAAATGCCTAAACTCTTACATACTGTTAAAACAGTACAGTTCTTTTCCAAACAACAATAGCATTATTTTGAAGCGATTTCATATCGAACATCAAAATTATATGGAACTGACGCGCAACAATCACGTGGCATATCGTTTAAGTTCGTTATGGAATCACTTTAAAGCGAATGCACTTTATCTAACCCCGCTGCACTACTACTGCTCTGCCTTATTTTTATGCCCTCGTGTGAAACTAACAGAGCTTTGTTTGAAGGTCAACTAGTATATACAATGAGCGGCCAATAATTGTGACAAATGTTTGTTCAAACATTGCTGACAGCTGGGGTCACGGACAGGTGTCGTCAACATGGGTCATTACTTATAAATTATGAACGAAATGGACGACACAAACAATCGCAAAAATAAAATGATTTAACAGTGATAGAGACCGCTTTAACATCTTCGCACGAATTAGCCCGGCTCGCCCGGTGAAATACCACGACCACACAGAAGACAGGCGTCAAGTGGAAGCAATTCCGCGTTTCGTCTGATGAGTTTGCGTCCCGGAGGCCTAATATAGTCCTCTTTCCCTTCCCATCCTTTTTCTTATAAAGAAACAATGGGAAGTGGACTTTCCGGATGAGAGGATTTTTTATATCATTGGGTGGCAAACGAGCGAACGGCCACCTGAAATCGCTGAAATAGCGAAGTGACCGTTGCCCATAGACATACTCAATTGCATATGCGTTGCCTACCTTTAATCTACGTTGGAGAGGATGCACAGAAAAAAAATATTTTCCCTTGCATGCATGATTAGAGCACGCATATGCAATTGCGTATGTCTATGGGCAATAGTCACTTCGCTATTTCAGCGATTTCAGGTGGCCGCTCGCTCGTTTGCCACCTTATGATATAAAAAAAGAAGCTAACATTTTGTAAAATTTATCTAAAAATAAAGCGTACCGACGTCAAAATCAATTACAAACAATACAATACGACCGAATCAAAGCCTTGATAATAATCAGATTACGTGATAGCTGGAGGGGCACATGACGCATGTAACTATGTTTACACCGATACGGCAATAGCGTGACGATAGCGTTCTATGTCAATGTTATAGAGACGGTGTGCTCAACGCAATTAGACCTGGAATAGAATATAATAACATTGATTGCAACATGGTGAATTAACCAATCTAAATTGTTTACTACCAAACCCGTTAATCACATAATAATGGTTAAGAGAATGGGCTGCTAATTTTGCAATCATAGATTCAAATCCTGCCATATTCATGTCATAGTCGAGGTTATTGGAAACAAGCTATCGCTGGCGATTACGTTTGCGAGGAATTAATAAAAAAAACCTAATTAGTAGCTTAAGTATTCTTCCAGACTTTGTTCTACATCCGTGCTAAATTTTATCAAGATACGTTGAGCCATTCCGTAAATATCTTCACAAATATCCATCCATCCATCCAATAAGATTAGTAAGAAATAAGTTAAGTTCCTAACACTTAACATAACAATATAGAGACTGGTTATAATTCAGTTAATCTTTAAAAGAACATTACGAATTATTACCAATTACCAAAGTATTTTTAAAGGGGGGAATCAAGGGGTAAATAGGAATAGCGTGTCTTTAGTGCGTGTCTGTAGCATCTTTATAAATATAGAGTTGAAAAACCGCACCGCGTCGCAGCGGCAGCGACTACGAGGACATGCAGCGACGTACCGGCAACTTGTTACACAACTATGAATCATTTTTTAAAAAGAAATAAGCCGGTATTACGTCGTAATGTAATAGACACACTTACTACTAGCTATAACCCACGGCTCCGGCCGCGCGAAATTAGAAAAACTTAATTACTAGTCTATGTGTTCTTCCAAACAGACTATGCTCTACATTTATGACAAATTTCATCAAGATCCGAGCAGGCGTTCCGGAGATACCTTCAAACATACATCCATCCATCTAAACATTCGCATTCATAATATTAGAAAGAAGTAGTAACTAAATGTTCAGGCCTTTAGGCTAAAGACCGTCGCTATGGAACTGACATAAAAATCTTACTAATATAGTTTTATAGATGAATGGATGTTTGTTATAAGCAATCTCCATAACGACTGAATGGATCTCGCTAAAATTTTTACAAAGATGTAGAACATAATCTGGAAGAACTCTTAGTACAAATTATGTTCATTTAATTCCGAGCAAACGGCATCGCGGGCGATAGCTAATCAACCATAAATAGCATCCTCTTGTCAGTAAATACAAATGTGCTTATATTATAATCGCAAGTCGCAATGCTCATAAACTTCCCTTGCAGGCTTCACTCCGGTAAAGTACAACGTCGCGTGCCCGTCGCGTGCTCGTAACGATTTACTCCCGTCATGTTAATATTGCTAATCAATAAAAATGTAGACGAACAATATCTGAAATTTCGTTGCGGTTTTATAAAGAGACATTATTACGTCATTATCTTTTCATTGACTAAACTTTCATATCAATACTCATAGATACGGCATCGCACGAGTACATATCCTTATATATATATATTGGGATATGTATATAGGGATATTCGTGGAAATCTAGGAAAGGCTTTTAAGTCGAGAAAAATTCAACTAATTGCCAGAAACTAGTTATGTTTATTTTTTTATTTTAGGACAGCTAGTCTTATATATAGAATTCTCATGTCACAATGTTTACTCCTCCAAAACTACTTGACCGATTTATATTTTTTATGAATTTTATATGCATATTCAGTAGGTCTGGGAATCAACTACTATCTATTTTTTAATCAAACGCGGGCAGATTCACAGGCGATAGGTAGTACATACGTCTCATTGTAATCGTCCTCTACGCGCGGCTAAAGTTGGTCAGATTTGGATGAAATTTTGGTAGTCTTTTCTTACGACGCTAAAGAAGGTTTTGGCGACGAAAAAAAATCTAAGAAATAAAACATTTCAAATATTATGCGAGGTCTGACATAACTAGTCTGAGCTTTAGGCTGTACACATTTAACTAGATACCAAGATTAGATACATTCTTATAAAAGCAGCTGTTTTTGTTTGTACTAATATATAAATATTCGCAAATGCATAAAAACATGTAAATTAAACTAAATACTTGACATTTGTAACCACAATAAA